TGAGAAGCTTCTTTGAATGACCAGTGATTAATAATGGCTATGAAAAAAAACATCCCATTAAGCAAAAGATTTGCTTTGATAAGCAACATGAATAATTTGGTATGTATGCACTGTACGTATTTTTGCAAAGCACTCCGTAGCACTGTTTTGGATCATAATGTGAATGTGCATATTTGTAATTCATTCATCCCATCTTCTAGGCCTTGGTGGCTAGAGCAAAGAAAGCTTTTAAACATTCCTTTAAATTAACTCGATAAGAGTGTTAATAGTTGAAAGACCCATCTTCTGCCGTTCAGGCACCTTTCTCTTGATAAAAACAGGCAATTTACAATATTTATTCTACAAAATTCAGCTTTCTGGGTTTTTTGTTGTTGTTGTTAAAGAAGGATTAATCCGTTTGTTCATTTGATGTAAAACCATATATGGGCATTATTTTCATGTATTAAACTTACTTCAAGAGCCATTTAATAAACTGTAGCCAAACTCCGTTAGCAGATAAGCTCCTCTCTCTGCTTTCATCAGTTAAACAAGGTTGGATCTGATTAGTATTTGGCTAATGGACACGAAGGGGGGGTAAGGGAGAGGAATCAGACAGTTTATGAAGTGGGTGGTGATTTTGATTAATTAGAACAGGGGTAGGCAACCTATGGCATGCATGCCGAAGGCAGCACACGAGCTGATTTTCAGTGGCACTCATGCTGCCCAGGTCCTGGCCACTGGTCTGGGAGGCTCTGCATTTTAATTTAATTTTAAATGAAGCTTCTTAAACATTTTAAAAACCTTATTTACTTTACATACAACAATAGTTTAGTTATACATTATAGACTTATAGAAAGAGACCTTCTAAAAAGGTTTAAATGTATTACTGGCATGCGAAACCTTAAATTAGAGTGAAAGGTTGCTAACCCCTGCTTTAAACTAAGCTCCTGAGTACTTGAACTAATATTATAATAGTCTATGGCCTGGCAAAATTCTAATTTGATAAACTACATGGAAAATATAAAGTGGCAGAATATAATTTCATTTGGAGAAAGTATTCACTCCCTCTCTCAAACTATTGTATTGTATTGCTGTGTATCATTAAGCTGGTGCAAGTTCCACCCCAGAAGTGGCTGCATTTTGGTAATGGTGAAGATACTTCCCAATTAAAGGTACTATTTAGGTGACAAATCTGAGGAACTGTCACAGATTAAGGAGCACTCAAGGACGATAAGGCCAGTGTGGAGAAACTAATTTAATTATTCGCATTGGTCTTCATGGTTGAGGATGTGAGGGAGATTCCCAAACCTGAGCCATTCTTTTTAGAGACTGTCCCAGATTGAAGTATCATTAGAGGAGGTTTTGGAACATACTGATAAACTAAATAGTAACAATTCACCAAGACCAGATGATATTCACGCAAGAGTTCTGAAGGAACTCAAATGTGAAAATGCAAAACTACTAACTGTAGTCTTTAATCTATCATTTAAATCAGCTTCTGTACCAAATGACTGGAGGATAGCTAATGTGACACCAATTTTTAAAAAGGGCTCCAGAGGGAATCCCGGCAATTACAGGCCGGTAAGCCTGACTTCAGTACCAGGCAAACTGGTTGAAACTAGTAAAGAACAAAAATGTCAGAAACATAGATTAACATAGTTTGTTGGTGAAGAGTCAACATGGTTTTTGTAAAGAGAAATTATGCCTCATCAGTCTACTAGAATTCTTTGAGGGGGTCAACAAGCATGTGGACAAGGGGGATTCAGTGGATATAGTGTACTTAGATTTCAGAAAGCCTTTGACGAAGTCCCTCACCAAAGACTCTTAAACAAAGTAAGCTGCCATGAAATAAGAGGGAAGGTCCTCTCATGGATTGGTAACTGGTTAAAAGATAGGAAACAAAGGGTAGAAATAAATGGTCAGTTTTCAGAATGGAGAGAGGTAAATAGTGGTGTCCTCCAGGGGTCTGTACTGGGACCAGTCCTATTCAACATATTCATAAATAATCTGGAAAAAAGGGGGTAAACAGTGAGGTGGCAAAACTTGCAGGTGATACAAAACTACTCAAGATAAGTCCTAGGCAGACTGTGAAGAGCTACAAAAGGATCTCTCAAAACTGGGTGACTGGACAACAAAGTGGCAGATGAAATTCAATGTTGATGAATGCAAAGTAATGCACATTGGAAAACATAATCCCAACTATACATATACAATTATGGGGTCTAAATTACCTGTTGCCACTCAAGAAAGAGATCTTGGAGTCATTGTGGATAGTTCTCTGAAAACATCCACTCAATGTGCAGCGGCAGTCAAAAAAGCAAACAGAATGTTGGGAATCATTAAGAAAGGGATAGATAATAAGACAGAAAATATCTTATTGCTTCTATATAAATCTATGGTACACCCACATCTTGAACACTGCGTGAAGATGTGGTCGCCCCATCTCAAAAAAGATAGATTGGAATTGGAAAAGGTTCAGAAAAGGGCAACAAAAATGATGAGCGGTATGGAACAACTGCCATATGAGGAGAGATTAATAAAACTGGGACTCTTCAGCTTGCAAAAGAGATGACTAAGGGGGGATATGATAGAGGTCTGTAAAATCATGACTGGTGTGGAGAAAGTAACGAAGGAAGTGTTATTTACTCCTTCTCATAACACAAGAACTAGGGGTCACCAAATGAAATTAATAGGCAGCGGGTTTAAACCAAACAAAAGGAATTATTTTTCAACACAATGCACAGCCAACCTGCAGAACTCCTTCTCAGAGGATGTTGTGAAGGCCAAGACTATAACATGGTTCAAAAAAGAACTAAATAAATTCATGGAGGATAGGTCCATCAATGGCTATTAGCCAGGATGGGCAGGGATGGTGTCCCTAGCCTCTGTTTGCCAGAAGCCGGGCATGGGCGAAAGGGGATGGATCACTTGATGCTTACCTGTTCTGTTCTTTCCCTCTGGCGTACCTGACATTGGCCACTGGGGGAAGACAGGATGACTGGGCTAGATGGACCTTTGGTCTGACCCAGTATGGCTGTTCTTATTTGAATGTAATCTTTATACATTGATATTTATCTTATTTATCTTGATATAATTATTTTGTATGTATTTTGGCACAAAGACTTTCATATTGTTCATTAGCTCTACCTGGTCCCCAGGGAGAGAGGTATGGTTCAGTCTAGTACCAAGGGTTCAGTCCTGCAAGTGATGAGTGGGATTACTGGTGTATGGCAGTGCAGATTATAGGATAGGCTTTGAATATTGTATAATATCTGGGGAAGCAGGCAGAGGTAAAGGACTATATCCTTTGTGGCAAAGATGTAAAACCTCTAAATTGTAACTTCCATGAAGAAATATGGGTTATTTAGCTGTGTTTAAATAAAAAAAGTCTTATATTTGTAAACAGTCCTCCCACATCTGAATAATTCACATAAAAACCAAATATGGCACTTACATACTGTGACATGTTGCACAAGACAATTTTAATTTAGATTTGTGTCCTTTTAATTTAGTCATAAGAAGTCCAATTTTGCATTGCTTGTGCATCCCAAATTCTCTGCAACGTCAAGGAGAGTTTCTGATGTCCAAGCAAAGGAGGAGCCAGCTCTCTGCAGGCAAGATTGGCAGGCTTCTTAACATATGTTTAATTTTAGATAACCTTTATCAGTAAGTGCAGAAAGAAAATGTGGCTGGATGAAGGTGTGGCCTAGCCTAGCAGACCCTGCATTTCAATTATCAAAGCCTGAGGCTAGGTCTACACTACAGGGGGAGGGGAGGGGGTCGACCTAAGATACGCAACTTCAGCTACGTGAATAGCGTAGCTGAAGTTGCGTATTTAGGTCGACTTACCTGGCTGTGAGGACGGCGGCGAGTCGACCGCTGCCACTCCGCCGTCGATTCCGCTTCCACCTCTTGCCGCGGTGGATTTCCGGAGTCGACGGCAGAGCGATTAGGGATCGATTTTATCGCATCTTCACTAGACGCGATAAGTCGATCCCCAATAGACGTGCCCTGAGAGAGGATTTAATTCACCTAGTTCATCTCCTTTTGGGATTTATTTTAAATATCTCCCATGTTTGCAGGTAGGCCTGTGAGAGCTAGATACTAGTGAGAAGTTTTAGAGCTGCAAAACACAAGTCCCGATGTCCAACATCCTCCCTCCATAAAAGTTTGAGTGCTTTTCGTTTTTGGATTCCACCCAACCCCAGAGACAGCCCCAAGCATGAAATCTGAATCTGGCTTTTGACCCCTCTCCCCTTCCACTTCCTACAACGTCTGTGATTCAAGAGATCCTCTCTCTTTTCAACAGGTATGGAGACAAAAGGAAAGGTGTTTCCCATACCATGCTAACCTGAAAGAGGCCAACCCCTGCCAATTCACTTTGTGGAGGCAAGAAACTTATACCTAGCAGAGTCATCTGAATCTGGAATGATTAGAAAGATAATATATTTTATTGGACGAATAAAAGATATTGCCTCACCCACGTTGTCTCTTAGTAGTATCCTGGGTCCCACATGGCTATAACTACACTGCATGCCATCCAGGGAGGACGTCAGTTTCTTTGCAGGTTCAGAAAAGAGCTCCCTGCTGCCGCTTTTGCCAGACAGCAAAGTAAAAAACCGGTTTTGGCACCTATTGCGTTGAGTCATTGCGCTCTCTCTCTCTCTGCACCAGTTTCTGGCTCAGATCTACACTCTGACAACCTTCCTGCCCTCTCACTGCAACCCCCCCCCCCCCCGTGCCCGTTAGCAGCCTAACGTGCCGGGTGCACTCCCACGCTATTTTCCGCAGCTCGGGGACAGCCTCTCCTCATCTGCACCGCACCCCACCCGCTAGTCTCCCGTGACCTAAGGCGTGGCATGCCCTGGCAGGCACGCACTGTCCCTTCTCCCACCCAGCGGCCTGGGTGGAGGTTGGCCCCTTCGTCTCATTGGCTGCCTGGGGCCAGCTCTCCCTGCGGATTGGCTGCCTGCCTCTGGTAGGTAGGATTCTTGGAGAGGGGACAACTACATCCCTTTTTTGGCTGCGGGGCTCGCGCTGGAATTGCTGTTTGTGCAGCAGATCCTGTGCGCGGGGAGGGCTGTGGCTGCTGCCTGTGGCGCACCCGTGACCCGCTGCTGGCGGGAGTGGAGTTAGTGGCTTGTTGGAAAGAAAGTTAGAAGTGTGTGTGTGTGTGTGTGTGTGTGTGTGTGTCGGTGGGTGGGAAACCCGTGGGGAAAGTTTGCACCTTAGTCTCCGGAGCGGCAGCAGCGGATCATGCAGCGGGGGAGACTCACCCTCCTAGTGTCTCTGGCTTTTCTTCTGCTCCACGTGAGAGGTAAGAAGGTGGAGCAGACGCTGGGGGAAGAGGGTCGCTGCAGTGCAACTCGCCCTTCTTTCCCTTTGCTCCGACGGGGATCTGTGGCGGGGGGTTTCCTGTGGGGCTGCGCTCCCCTACGCAGCCCTCCCTCCCTCTTGCCACCTGGGGCTGGGTGCTGGGAGCTGTGGCCCGCTGCCAGCATAGACTGAACAAAGGAGCGGCTGTATTGGGGGCGGGCAGGAGGATGGTGGGGCGCCCAGACGGGAGATCCGCATGGCTATGTGGCTCTCAGGGCGGGGTTGTAGCGCAGACGGGGCAGTGCCCGGAGCTCCCCTTTGTCCATACAGCGGTACGCGCCCAGGGGGGTGGCCTGTGCCGGGACCCCTCTCGCTGTCTGCACGGGCTGGCCGCCGCAAGGCGAGAGCGAACAAAGAGCGGAGCTGCGGGGTGAGCCCCAGGCGTGGGTGTGCGCCCCGGGTCCTTAAATGGCTGGTCCACCACCCCCGACCGCAGCTCTGCCTCCCTAGGTGGGATGAGCCTGGTGGTCTGCCTCTGCTCCCCCAGTGACAGCCACCCGAGAAGCCCTCGGAGGAGGCAGCCGGATTGGAAAAACTTCCTTTTCTGCGATCGGGGGGTGCCACGTTTTAGTTGGCGACTCTTTTTTATTTTATTTTTTTGCGGTGGAATTTAATCCCTGGGAAAACTGGATTTGCAGTGATGGCGGGGAAATCGCCTTAACTGTGGGCACTAAATGTGGCGCTACTGGAAATGAGGCAGGGGGTGATGGGGGAGGATTCACCACAGGGCTGGGACATGGAAATAAGCCAGGTTTATTACGTTGGACCGGTTGGCTTGCTCATTGTCTGGTTTGGGAGAACGGAAAGGATCTGGGAGTTGTCTCTTTATGTATTGCTAGCCTGGGGAGGAGAAATGCTACATACTTGTAAGGCTGGGGAATCCTTAGCTGCCTTCCTGCCCCACCCCAACAGCGTGGAGTATCTAGCTGACGTCTTTCAGGGGAGGTAGGATGCCTGAAGTGCACATCATTCTCCCACTAGATCTGCACAGAGTGGTCCTCTTCACATTTGCCCGTTGAACCATAGATAGAGCAGGGGTACTGTGGTCACTTACAGAGGAGGTGATGTTGTCCTTTTAAAAAAACTAGTACAGTATGAAAATGTTTATTTTTTCACCTCTCACTTTATATATTGTATGTACCAAATTAGTTTCTGTGTTTTCATTAGTTTGTGCGTAGAAGGAGGGGGCTTTTCTTGAATGCCACCGGGAGTTTTGGCACAGTCAGAGCTCTAAAACAGCTTCCATTTTAGGAAAGAAAGAGGAGTTACTTTTAGTCGGAGCAACAGTTATCCACTTGCAAGTTAGCTTTGAGTTATCAGCACAATAACTATACTATGGGAAACTTCAAGGTAAACAAACAAAAACTTTGCTGACAATTTCCCTTTGATTTTAATATTCTTATGAGCAGACTTTTTTTAGCCTTGAAACTTTTGCCCACTTTTTTTGCACAGAATATTTATTTAAAAACAATAGGTTGAATGTTAGGATTCTGATGCATTATTTGGAGAAATGCAGCTACAGTAGCTAAAACTACTTTATCCAATAAGAACTTATGTAAACTCTGTTGGCTAAGGTCTGATGTGATACAAGGATATGTGATACAAATTGTCACTTACTTCGCACAATTTGTCACTTAATTACTTCTTGCAAGGATGGTATTATTTTTGCCACACCAAAGAAGGCTAGTTGATGCTACATAGTCATATATTTTTCCTGTCAAATATTTAGCAAAACTGTTAGTTTAAAATCACTTGTTGCCTCAGAGCTCCAGAGGACATGCCGTAGAGCAGGGGTGGCCAACCTGTGGCTCTGGAGCCACATGCGGCTCTTGAGAAGTTTAATATGCGGCTCCTTGTATAGGCACTGACTCCGGGGCTGGAGCTATAGGCGCCAACTTTCCAATGTGCCGGGGGGGGGGGTGCTCACTGCTCAATCCCTGGCTCTGCCACAGGCCCTGCCCCCACTCCACCCCTTCCCGCCCCCTCCTCTGAGCCTGCAGTGCCCTCACTTCTCCCCCCTCCCCCCAGAGCCTTGCCACAAAACAGCTGATTGGGAGGGAGGGGGAGGCGCTGATTGGCAGGGCTGCCGGTGGGTTGGAGGCGTTGGGAGCGGGGGTGGGGGAGCTAGTGTGGGGCTGCTGACCTATTGGCAATGTACATTGGTAAATTCTGGCTCCTTCTCAGGCTCAAGTTGGCCACCCGTGTCATAGAGGGAGAGGAGGATGTTAAGTGTTTGACAAATCTTTGCAAGGAGGTAAATTGTTCTGACATGATCAGTAACATTAACTCAGCTTGTTGTGTCCAGGGTTACAGTTCATAATGTGAATGCATTATCCCAACCAAATGAAAAAAGACACAAATAGGATCCTATTTTTTTCAAACAATACTTGTATGCATTCATGCATGGTATGAAGAAAGCTTCAGTTTTAACCAGTGTGAAGCTACTTTAAATAAAGCAATTTACATCAATTATCTAAATCACTTGATTTTAAATATCATCAGTCTAAATCAGGTGGAGGTTTTGCAAAACTAATTTGAAAACTTGTGCTCTTACAACATTAGACTAAAAATATATCCTAAATTTTGAAATGGTTTTTAAAATGCCACTGTCTGTAAGGTATCTTATTTGAATTTTCACTACTTTGTCAGTAGCAGTTCTGTAAATGTAAGGCTCTGATACTGCAAACACTTAAGCAGTTGTGTAACTTTACTCACATGAACAGTCCCATTAACTTCAGTGGGGATTGCTCCTGTTCTTAAAGTTAAGCATGAGAGTTTGCAGCATCGGGGCTAGCACTGTATTTTTTTTTATTCAACGTCGCTCTAAATGGCATAAAATCTTTGTCATTCCAAAACAAAATTGCTTTAGTGTTAACAATGTTATAAACACAGGCCAAATTTGTTTTAAAATAAGAGCCTAAAGTTAAGCTCGCATTTAGACACATGCAGGTGAGATTCCAAAGTGTGGAACTTCATAGCAGAAAAAAATCTCTAGTAGAGATTAGTAGCTGAAATTTTACTAACAATTAGAAGATTAAAGAAATAAATACAAAACAACCACCTCATTACTTTAAGACTATAAAATAGAAATAATGTAAAGAACTAGAAATTGATGAATAAAAATTGTGATTTTAACCACCCTGGCCTCAACCAGGGCCGGCTCTGGCTTTTTTGCCGCCCCAGGCAAAAAAGCCTCCGGCCGCAGCCCCGGGGCGAGGGCAGCGAGGGGAGGGCGGCCGGAGCCCTGGGAGGAGGGCGGCGAGCCCCGGCAGGGGCTCGGCTCTCCCCCCGGCGGGGGCTCGGCTCTCCCCCCGGCGGCCAGAGCACCGGGGGCAGGGCGGTGAGCCCCGGCGGGGGCTCGGCTCTCCCCCCGGCAGCCAGAGCGCCGGGGGCAGGGCGGCGAGCCCCGGCGGGGGCTCGGCGCCCCCCCCGGCCCCCGGCGGCCAGAGCGCCGGGGGCAGGGCGGCGAGCCCCAGCTGGGGCTCGGCTCTCCCCCTGGCGGCCAGAGCGCAGGGCGGCGAGCCCCAACAGGGGCTCGCCGCTCTCCCCCCGGCGGCCGGGGGGAGGGCGACCAGAGCGCCGGGGGGAGGGCGGCGAGCCCGGCTGTGGCCCCGCTCTCCCCGGCGGCCGGAGCGCCGCGCCGCCCCCCTCCAGGTGCCGCCCCAAGCACCAGCTTGGGTGCCTGGAGCCGGCCCTGGCCTCAACTGTACACTTCTTTAGTTGGTTTAAATTCAGACTGAAAAAAATGGTCAAAATACAGTTAAATTATGCATTTTAATGTTGAGAGCATGTGGATCAAATTCCCCCATGCATCATTCTGAAAATGTAATTCCATGTTAAATGAGCAGTTAATGATTGCATTTCCTTTGGGTACTATTGCTATTCGCCAATTTCTGGTGGGGGGTATCATTTTATAGAGCCACACATACTGTACTATGAAGCTGAAAATGTGCAGCAGGCTATTCTTTACCACTGTCACTGAAAAGAGTTCAGTTCTGTGACTCAGACTCTGAAGGCTTTTACTTTTTACACTGATAATTTACATAAAAGGACAACTGTGCATGCTAAATCAAAATGACTTCATTGCAGCAGTGCAGAAGTTCTTTGAAGTCATGACAGTGTAGCTTGGCAACTGTTGAACACTCCTCAGCTCTACACTGCACAGCCAGAAACAATTTCTAGATATTAATGTTTGCTGTTACTACTTTGGCATGTCACATGGGGTGGCAGCTATACTTAAAATGTTTGTCCTTGTTTGACTCTTGTTACTGTGATCCACCTACTGGGGAAGGCATTATTTGTTTGGAGGATACAGTTTAGTACAAAGCTACTGTAATTGCCATGTCCTTTATTCATTTAGTATTGCAAGAAGATGAAAGTGCACCCAGAAATCGACTAGCCAAAGACCAATAGGACAAGAGTGTGTAAAGCGTATGAGGGGAGGGAGGAGGAGGGCAAGTCACCAGGGAGTTCCAGGGGCCAGGGTTCATCTTCAGCTGGTGAAAGGGGAGGGTACATGGGTTTGTACCTGGTTGCATTTACTTTTTCCTTAGAATGTGGGAGAGGGGAACAACACTTAATCTTCCATATGAATCTCTGACTAGTGTTTGATAAATTTGAAATCCCAGGCTACTTTTTGGGAAAGGAGCAAGTGGTAGCAGCAGCAGCATTGAAGTGCTCTGTCTGCAGACTCAGACAGCACCACAACAGTTAACATTTGGAAGGTTCTTTGCAATCATAAGGAGACTGCTAATGAAAGCAGAAATTATGTAAAAGCTGGTACATTGACACTTCTCAAATATCCAGTCTTAATTCCCTTCCCCTAAGTAGGTTTCTATCATCAATATACAAAATGTCAAATGGACACTTATAAAGAAACATCTTTAGCTGTACTTGTTAAAAGGCAAAAGTCATTAGTAACTCAACTGGTAATTCACTCCA